TTTGTGTTCCTCTAATGTGGCTTCTTAAGATGTAGATTTCTGAGCTGAACTTGGCATTTGAGGAGGGAAGGTGGCCTCTGTCTTAGTGCATTTAGATCTAGTGCGACAAGCCATGTGGCCACTCCCCTGATTCCAGCCAAGAATCCTGTGACAGTGAGTGTATGCATGTGCACGCTCGTTGCTCATGGTCAGGGTCAGGGTTATGAAGGAGTGACTTGTGCTCCAGGGAGAACTGAGTCAGTAGAGAGGCGAGGTCCACTCACTTATTAGCTAACATGTATTGAGGACCAAAGTTCAGCCAGGCACTGTGCTAAGTGCCTTCCACATGTTTTATTTAATCTCTGCAAAAAGACCAACTATAATTAACTTCATTTTACAGAAGTGATTTGGAAAGGTCAAGGGACAGGTATTAGTACAAATAGTAAGTAGCAGAATCAGTTCTCAAGCCTGGGTCTGTTTGACGTTCAAATCCATGAAAAGACTTTAAATATAGAACACTAGGGCCCTGGCACGAGGTCAGAGTGTCCTGCTCAGTTTCGCTACTTTCTACCAAGGAGTTGTTCTGGCTGTGGGTAAAATTAAATAATCCTATATATAGAATAGGGCATAGGGAATTTTCTCCCTTGATTAGTTAAGTATGTTAATAAGGTTGCTCAGAACATTTTTTCTTCACAAGCAAACATGTTGTAACCTTGGACACCCCATGGAATCTACCACTATGTGGAGAAGCTGTTCTGATGAATTTAACGTGTTTATCCAGCCAAGATTCTAGAAGTTTATTTACTTATTTTTAAAATTTATTTATTTATTTTTGGCTGTGTCAGGTCTTAGTTGCGGCAGGCAGGATCTTTGTTGAGGCATTTGGGATCTTTCGTTGCAGTGCGCAGGCTTCTCTCTAGTTGCGGTGTGCGGATTTTCTCTCCTCTAGTTGTGGCCCACAGGTTCCACAGCACGTGGGCTCTGTAGTTTGCAGCACACAGGCTCTCTCGTTGAGGCATATGAGCTCAGTAGTTGTGGCGCGTGGGCTTAGTTGCCCCGCGGAATGTGGGATCCTAGTTCCCCGACCAGGGATCGAACCCATGTCCTCTGCATTGGAAGGTGGATTCTTCACCACTGGACCGCCAGAGAAGTCCCTCTAGAAGTTTAGAAAAGGGCTGGTTTGTGAGCATTAGCAGGTAGCAGGGGATTAAAAGTCAAAATCGTGTCATACTCATCTCAGTGATACAGGGTAGATACATCTAGACATCCTTAAGGCAATTGATATCTTTGACAATCTCTGTGGACAAGATAGAGAATTGTTGATTGGATGATGGTACAATTAGACTGTAAAGGGAGAAAGGGTGTGGCATAGTGATTAAGAATAAGGTCTGAGAAGCCAGATGTCTGGCTTCTGATCCTGGCTTTTGCACTGCTTAGCCTGTGTGACTTCAGTCCAGTTAACCATTCTATCCTTCAGTTACTTCATCTATAAAATGGGGATAATAATAGCATCAATCACCCAGAGTTATTGTGAGGATTAAATAAGATGGAAAATAATCAGTAATAAATAATGAAGTGTTTAGAACAGTGCTTGGCATGTACAAGATGACATGCAGGAGTTATTGTTATTAACAATCATTATAATAATTATTGTTATTAGGCTGTTGAATGATTGTACACAAAGCAAACTGATTAATGCCTATAGTGACTCATACAGAGCTAATCAGTATCTAGAAACTCCAAGTCTTTTCCATACCACTGCATCTTTGCCTTATAATACTTGGAGCCCTTATTTTTAGCAGTCTACTGAAAAATTCATTTTTCCCACTCACTATCTTTGAGGAGTCTGAGGCAGGGGGACAGGCTGGAATATGGCTTCTGTGTTAAAGGTATATACATAAACGCATTTTACAGATTCCTCAGTGGAATAAAAAAATCTTGATAAGCTAAAATGATGGATCCAATCTAGCAACACATGTTAGATCCTGCAGTGTTGAAAGCATTTCTAAAGTTTGTACTAGATTGAGATTGATTTTATTTTATACTACTTTTAAGAATCCTTTCTTAACAGTTACCCAAACCTCCATGATTCTGCTATCAACAATTGTTTGTTTTACTGGTTTCATTTCTTACCACTCTTTGTTGTGTTTTATGATGTCTTCCCCTTTCTTGACATTATTTATTCTGATGTTTTTCACTGGCTCGAGTATTTTCTCAAAATCTTTTTCAGAAAGGAAATGTCAGTAGTGTAGTTCTTGAGATCACTCATGTTCTAAAATGTCATTCCTTTGCTTAAATATAGCACGATGTTTTGCTCTCTTTTCCTTAGAACTCTATAAATATTATTCCAGTGCTATCTAGCATTTAGTGTTTCAGACAAGAAGTCCTGGGTCAGATTGGTTCTCTTTTCCTCATAAATTACCATTCCTTTCTCTCAGGAGGTTTGTAGATTTTTCTCTTATTCCATGAAATTCAGAATGACTCATTTTTCAACATTCATGCCTGTCACCTTAAAAGCCTATTTGGATTTGAATACATAAGCCGAGAGATTTTTCTCTTGATATTAATTCTTATACATTTACTCCATTTTCTGCTGTAATTCCTTTTAAATAGATACTGAATATTTTGGGTCTGTCCTCATATCATTTTTTTGTCCCATAGTTTCTCTCTTATATCGTTAATATTTCTATGTGCTTTGGAGAATTCCTGAGGTTGAAATTTGTGAATTTATTTTCTAGCAGTGACCAACCTATTATTCTATGCCTCCATTGAGTTTTTATTTTTGGCATTCATATTTTGTTTTTAATTTCCAAGACTTCATTGTTTTCTCAGAACCTCCCCTCTTTTTCATTAATACAGTATCCTCTTAACCTTGTTTGGACTGCAGTCTCTTCGCATGTCAAGAGTGTCTTGGTTATTTCTTACTGCATAACCCCACTCCTCCCACCCCACCACTACCCCAAATTTAGTGGTTTAAAACAACAATTTATCATTTGTCACAATTCCATGGCTACGTGGTTTTGTAATGTGTAGACATAGTCAGCTGGTGGCTGGGCGAGGCTGGGCTGTGCTGGCAGATGAAAGAAGGCCTCTCTCAGGTCTTCCCTGGCAGCCCAGTAGTTAAGACTCTGCGCTTCCACCGCAGGGGGCAAGGGTTCGATCCCTGGTCGGGAAACTAAGATCCAGCATGCTGCCTGGTACGGCCAAAAAAAGAAGGCCTCTGTCACACATGGCTCGGGCCTTGATGCTGGCTGTTCACCAGGCCACTTGAGTCCTCCTCCATGTGGCCTCTGTCTTCACATGACATCTCATCTTTAGGGCCTCTCTCCCAAGCACGGATTTTCTTCAGCATGGACACTGGATTCTAAAAGAGGGAAAGA